TTTCTCTACCTCCCTTCCCCTCTCTCTAAAAATAGAATAAATATAATCTTTAAAAAAAGTCCTCAGTGACTCTCGTTGTGTAGTGGCTTTGTACTATAGCAACTTAGGTGACCTGGAATTTCCCAGAATTTCCTTTCCTATTTCTTTCTGGATCGGGGTGGCCAAAAGAGGTATTTTGGATGCTACTTAGGAGGTAGAAATGAAGCAAGTACAGATTATTTTTTTTTATTGTTTTTAATGGCTGGTGGCAGATGCCAGGTGCATTGTCTCCAAGCTGCAGCTAGCTCACCAATTGCCAAGGGGAAGCACCCAACTGAAATTTCTCCATGTATGATATTGAATGGTGTTGTCCCTCCTCTCTCCCAAATTTATGTCCACCTGGAGTCTCATGGTGTAACCTAATTTGGAAACAGGTTCTTTGCAAATGTAGTTAGTTATTTACGGTAAGATGGGGTTTACTAGATCAGGGTGGGCCCTAAATCCAGTGGCTAGTATCTTTATAAGAAGGCCACACGAAGACACAGAGATGCCAACACTAAGGGAGAATATCACGTGAAAATGGAGGCAGGGATCGGAGAGATGCCACCGCAGGCAAAGGAAGGCCAAGGATTGCCAGCCACCACCGGAAGCTAGAAAGGATCCTCACCTGGAACCTTCAGAGGGAGGAGCATGGCCCTGCCAGCACTTTCACTGGAGATTTCACTCCAGAACTATGAGAGAATAACTTTCTGTTATTTCGAGCTGCCCAGTTTGTTGTGCTTAGACATGCCAGCCCAAGGAAACTAACACCCTCCAGCTTCTGGCACATCCCCTCCTCCAGTGTCTTCAACTGCTTGACTGAGTGTGCATGCAGGGTGAAGGGTTCCGGCTTCTCCTACGTGCCACCTATAGCATAGAGGTTGGAGGTGAGGAGAGGCAGACACGGGTTCCCGTTAGTCTTTGCAGGCAACAGTTGTTTTCACAGGTCCAGTTTGCCCCTGCTCGTGTCCACATCCTACTTTCCTCCCCAGCTGCCAGTATAGCAACTATGGGCTCAGCACTAGACAAAGAGGCAATTGCCTGCATGGACTGCCCTGCCTCTATTCTCACAATAACTCTTATAATAATTACTTTTAATTCTGATTAAGTAATTGCTTTTAATTCATACATCATTGATTCTTACAATAATTCCCCTATTACCTTATTGCATGTGCACATGGTGGTTCTGCTTTTCTGATCAGATCGTGACTATTTTCCAAATTAAGTAAAAATGAATTGAATGAAACCAATCTGCTATCCAGTTCCTTCCATTATAAGAATATATTAGGTTACTAAGATTAGTAGCTAACATTTATTGAAGACCTCCTAAGTGTTGGGTGCTGTGCTCAGTTTTTTATACTAACTCATTAAACTCTCAAAACAACCCTATGAAGAAGGTAGGGTTATTAGACCTAGTTTATAAATGTTTACAAATATAACAAAGGTGTAATGTCTTAGAAATGAAGTAATTCACCAAGTCAGAAGTTATAGCTGGAGTCTAATTATAAAACAGGAGTTCTCTGCCACCATGTAACACCTCTACTCCAAATTCATTAGAACTGAAAGAAATTGTGTTTTTTTGTGGAATCTTAAGGACCCTCACCCTTCCCCCAAAGACACACACAAAATGCATTTTCATGACTTCAAGACTTTTTCCTTCATCTTCCCTGTTTCTCAAGAACTTTCCTACTGTCACCCCCAGGCTTGTGGTACAATGGAAACAAAATTTCAAGTCAGACACACTAGGGTTTGAATGTCAAATCTATCCATTACCTACTACCAAATTTTTTAGATTTCCTAAGCCTCAATTTCATCTATAAAATCCCAATGATATTCATGTAAAATAATATTTAATATTGTCACTTATGTACATGTCTGGATCCACCTGCTAGCTTATGAATCTTAGGCTTTTAAAAACTATAGCCCACAGTGAGAATATATTTTTGTACTGCAACTCAAATCATGCATATATACACAGATAACTGAAACAAGTTTCATGAATAATACTTGCCTTTATTACTTGTAGTACCTATGATGTATTCTATTCTATTCCTTTAGTGGCTGGTCAATTCCTCACTAAATTGATTTCATGAACTACAGATGGTTCAACATTGAAAAAAGCCATGTGTTCTTTTATGTAAGGGGTCATATTTTGTTTTTTGGGTTTTTTTTGTATTGCTATTGGCAAATAGAGTTTCTGGCACAAAGTAGTTATTTGGTAAATAGTTGCCATAGGATTGGGTTTCCTTGAGGACAGGAGTCTTATCTTAGTTACCTTGTATGTATCCAACATTCAGCATAACTCTTTCCACAACATTTAGAGAACAAATGGCTAAAACTTAGGCCTATTGCCAAGCTTTAGAGATCAAACATTTGGATCAATCAGTATCTGACAAGCACCTAACATGTGGCCATACAGAAACGCTGAATTCCTGGCTCCTTCCCTTAATTATTTTAAAAGCAGTGTGGGATCACTGAAAGGGAACAAGGAATACATGTTGCCCAACTGAGAAATTTAAAAAATGAATAAGACATATGGAGGCCATAATATCACCTTTATTAATAACAAAGATTAAATCAGAAAACATATAATAATGTGAAAGCCAGTCTAGCCTGTTAATTAAACCCTAATTTGAGGCATCGCTAAACTTAGGTGGCCCTCCCTATGCTGAAAGCCTGTGCTGGTGAGGCATAAGACAGCTCAGGAAAAATGTGGGAAGAAGCAAGGTCAGCAAACCCAGTTTAGTTTTTCTAAATGTACCAATTAGATAAATCACTCCTCCTCTCGCCAGCCACAGAGGGAATAAAAGAGCATAGAGTGACCAGACAAATTATTACCAATTGAGCTCCCTCCCTCGGAAGGAAATAGCAGAGAGGGGGTGAATGTTCCCTTTGAAAAATCAGATTTTGGTACACAAACACACACACATACTGTGTATGTATATATAAAATAATAATAATATAAAACAACCCAAGGAATATCACAAAATGAATACCTAATTAATTTTTAAATATAGTTAGTACTAGTGTTTCTCAAGTCTGACTGTTCATCACAACCTGGAGGACATTAAACAATAACAGACCATTTACCTGGGTAATCCCAGCATACCGGTAAGCCTGAGACAATTGCCTTAGATGAGCTAGGCAGACAAATGAACAGGAATTGGCAGGTTTCCTTGAGGAAGAAACTGGACAGACGTTGCAGGACAAGTATGACTGAGGTAGTCAAAAGGAAGAAGCAGAGCAGAGCATTTTATTCAGGGGTGAGAACTGTAAGTAGAAGGACTACAGAAATAATTGTGGCTCAAGTTACCTCAAACCTTACTCTTGAAAACCCTTACAGAATTTATCTTTAGAAAAATGATCTATGCTAATATAGCAAATGATAAGACATATGGAAGCATGGTTTTGTGGAAAAGATCCTGGACTTTTGAGTTAGGAGACTTTGTCTCCTAGCTGTGTGAATTTGTCGCGGCCACATCCTCCCCCTGACATTTAAGAATCATTTGTAAAGATAGGAGTTTGTACAGCATTCTGGGGGGATGGTTGCACAGTCTCCATTTCAGGAAATGGCTCTATCCTTCACCTAGAAACTATGGCTAAAAACCTGACATCATTTTTTATTTCTTTTTCTTACCAGTCCCCACATCTAATCCAGCAGGTAATCTTGACAATTTTCCTTCCAAAACATATCCCTAATTTGTCTACTTTTCATTTTTTTGATCACTACCCTAATCCAAGACAACACCCTTTCTTTGGATTACTCTAGACATTGGGAATCAGTAGGTGTGGGGCAGGGTCTGAAAACTTGTATTTCTAACAGGTTCTCATTCTGTTGGTCCAGAGACCATTCATTGAGAATCACTCCTTTAGAACAATGGTTCTCAACCGTGGGATTCACAAAAGTATCACCTGATCTTTTAGTAACTATTGAGCTTGTGCCTGATAACCAGCAATCGTGATTCACTTGGTATGGGGATGATGGCTGGCCATTTGTAAATTTTAAATCTCTGTTGGTGATTTGAAATGGCCAAGGGTTGAGAAACACTACCAAGGTTTAGAGATACGGGTGAGTTTATTTGCTCCTTGTGGCTTTTGCATTAGCTGCTCCCATCACCTGGTACTCTCTCCCTCTTAGGTCTTTCCATGGCTGAACCCTTTTTTGTCATTTAGGTCTCATTAAATGTCACTTTCTCTAGTATGCCTTCCTTGATCTCTAATCTAAAATCCCCTATCATGAAAAAATACAATAAACATGAACTATTAAAAATAAAAAAAATAAAGTAACACCCCTATCTTTATCATATTGTCTGGCTTGTTTTCAGCATAAGCATTAGCATTTCCTGACATTTTCCTATTTATGCATATTGGTTGTATCTTCCAACTACAATAAGCATTTCAAGCATAAATACCTTTGCTTGTCTAATTAGACTGCTATCTCCAGTACTTACAACAGTGCTTTGCTCTATTAGACATTCAACATTTGTGAAGGGAAGAGAGATAAAAGCCTTTAAAATAAATTCTTCCAGTTCTTCTATGTTCTTTTCAACTCTTCAAGTAGATTTTAATAAAACATTTTATTTATATAATAAAATTGAACCATCTATGAAAGAAGCATTTATTTTTTATTATTTTTTTAGAAGCATTTATTTTTTATAAATATATCTTAACCGCACTGAGATCATTCTCTCTTCATAAGAACCCTGTACTAATCTTTTGCAAAATCGTTATCCCTTAAGATTTCATATATAGTACACATTTACTTATAATACTGTTTCATAGGGAATACAGCTCACAGAGTAAGGCCGCTGGATATGGTCAGGATATATTAAACAAAAGGATTGCTACACAGATTTCGTTTGCTTGTTATTGGAGAGAGGAGAGAGTAAAGGAATTTGTAGAAGAGAAAGGTTTTGGAGGGAGCAAGAGTCATAGAAAAACATGAAGGCTACATCTGGTTCCTTCTAAAAGAGGCCTACGCATTTATTTTCTTCTCTTTAATGAATGAATGTAATCTGGCAGAACTGAGGACTTTTAATTTCAGGTAGCAACAGAATACTGGAGATAATTAGTATCCTGTTTCACGGCGTTTGTTCAGGCCAGTGCAACACAATCTTCAGCTGCAGGTCATCAATCGCTTCGTCTCAAGGACGTAGCCTGGATTAAATTGACAACTGAGATAAATTAAGGGCAAAGCAGACGTCCTTAAGTCCACCACGGAGCATTCCTGAAATACATTACCTATGCAAACATAGAACAACATCACTGCAGGAAGAAAGAGGAGATTCCATAAACTGCATACTACAGGAGAAACTCTGGCCAGTTTCTTTGGCAGGGATGCGGGTACTTCCTCAAAACTCGCAAGTATACAACCTTCACCCCCAGGTATAGGGCTAGGTTCACATGCAACCAGTTTTTCAGGCAGCTGCCACCCCTTTCTTTTCTCTTCGTGCTTCGTCATTCATGGTCTAAAACAAACGTCTTTGTTTGTGAATAATGGTTGAAATCAGTCTAGCACTTCGGCACAGCCAACTGCGGAGCTTCTGAAAACACAAAACCCGCAGCCAGCAGACAGAGGTTGTGGCTTGAGAAACACCAAACGCTGAGAGGGGATAAGGGAGGGAGAAGCAAAGCCGCCGAGAAGTGGCCCATCCTGGGAATTGTAGTTCGCGTGGGGCAATCTTTTCAAGCTTTCACCGGGCTCTGGACTGCATTTCCCAGACGTCCCCGCGCTGCGGAGGCGGCAAGGGGTGGGGACTCTTGGTAAGGAGGTGCCGCAGGGGGAGGGGGCCTGGGACTGAGAAGCAGCAGTAGCGGCTGCCAGGAGTCGTCTCTCGTTAGTGACGGCCTCGGGAACCCTCGGGGCGCGCGGCCACGACGGCGGAGGGATCGTCGCGCGCCCCTGTGCCTGCCCACTCTCTTATCCACAGGCTCGTGGTGTCCGCCATGGAAGCGCATCCGGTCGCCGTCGGGGTCTTCGGACGCCGGTTCCCCGGCTCCCGGGAGCGATGAGTGGGTAGGGGTTAGCCGCGGCGCGCCTTCGCCCGCGCTCAGCCGACCCTGGATAGAAGGGTCTTCGGCCGGTTGGCTGCCGAGTTTGCCCCCACGCCGCCCCGCCCCCTGGGGGCGCTGCTTGCCCCTCGCCGCGTCGCCCCACCCCCTGGGGGCGCTGCCGCGGGGCGCCCGCCTCACATGCCGTTCGGGTGCCTCTCCGCGCTGGGTGCCCGCCGCTGAAGCCTGGGACCCGCCCGCCGGCCCACCCGCGCTCGTCGCCCTGCTGCTCTGAGCCGGCCGCCCCTCACCCCCCAAGATGTGGCACAACGTGGGGCTGACCCTGCTGGTGTTCGTGGCCACGCTGCTGATCGTCCTGCTGCTGATGGTGTGCGGTGAGTGGGGCATCTGCTGTAGGGCAATTGCACGCCGCGCTACACATGCCAGCATTACTGGTGTTGCTGACTTGCTTGTTTTGTCTGGTTAAAAAAAAGAATAAGGCGTGGATGGACAAGTTTTCTTAAAATCATCTGTTGTCTACTTACCTCTCAGGAGTGAGCTCAGAGGAGATGTACCCCTGACCCATGACAGGCCCTCTGGCATCTTGGAGAGGGAAAGAACAGGATCCAGGTCTGGGCATCTTCACTCGGGGTTAAACCAGATATTGCTTCACCGGCAGCGTCTGCTCTTGATTGCCATTCTTGCCACAGTCTGCCCAGATTTTAACCTTGGCCTGTATTCGAAGGTGAACTGATTGGTTACTCCTTTTTCTTTTTTTGCAGATGCGTATACGAAAGTAAAGAGAGGTTTTACTACTGTCATTTAATCAGGAATAGGGACAGGGTTGGGTTTGAAGCACATGCGAAATTGCTTACTTGGAGTTCAGGCTTAACTAAATTCCCAACAGAAATGTTGAGACTAGGTAGACCTTAGAAACACTGGCTATATTAAACTTCCAGGGTCAGGTAACCTAACTCTTAGTTCTGTAATAATGGTGCTATTTTGTCTGCTGTGGGTTTTTTCCTTCTTGGAATGAGAAGGCATAAAACTTTCTTCTCAAGGTAATATTAGCACAATTTTAGATCCTTTTGTTTTCTATATACACAGGAGTTAATAAACACAAGTGGTCTTTTAGCAGAGTGGCTGAGCAACTGAAAATTTGGGAAGTATTTCGAACCAGATATCAAAGAATTTATTTTTTCATAACTGCATTATCGAAGCATGGTTTCAGATTAATGCAGTAATTGGTCAGAATTCAAAATAAGTACTAGGGTGTATTCATTATACAATTTATGTAACTGCTCACTATCAGAGTTGTGTTTGGAGAAGATATGTATGTTTGTGCATATGCACATATATGTATTCATGTCTATATACTTGTGTATATTCTTTTAATTTTCTTGCTTTACTAAGGCACCAGAGTAAAGCTTCTAACTTACAGCCTTTCTTTTTTGATGATAGAAAAATTGAAAAGACTTTTAAATTTTTCTGCTTTGGATGTTAGCATATTTGGTATTTAGGATTCTTGAATTAAGGAAAACCAGATCTTTGCGATTTGTTTTGATATGAGGAAGAAGGAAAGCATATGCTTTCTTTTCTGACTTGATGTAAACTGGCTGGAGATGGTGATGCGATGTGCAGACCTTGTGACATGTGACAACACCTTTGATATAATATTTGCCAAACTTGCTTTTGGGACATCAAAGTTCCTAATTGCTACAAATATCAGACTTGCTCTCAGCTCTCAGTTGCTATTTGACTGTACTCATTTTTTCCTAAAGTGTCCTGTCTTTGGTTTCAGAAAACATGGAATTAGACAAGAGATGTAGAAATAAAAGAACACCTTATTTTGATTGGAATGGTCAAGCACTAACAACATTATGGAGAAGTAATCCAAGCATTTTTTGCTGGGGGAGCTAATGACAGGGAAGCTTCATGTTTTGACTAGGTTGGCCCTGAGGTTTACGCAGAGGAGGAAAGGATTCTAACAGACTTGAGAGAGACACTCGAGTGCTGTGTTAGTTTGCTAGGGCTACCATAACAAAATACCACAGACATTAATTAAACAACTGAATTTTTTTTTTCTCACAGTTCTGGAGACCAGAAATCTGATATCAAAGTGTCAGCAGGGTTGATTTCTTCCGAGGCCTGTCTCCTTGGCTTTTAGATACCAGCTTATCCCTGTGTCTTCACATGGTCTTTTCTCTGTGTCTTAATCTTTTCTAAAAAATACACCACTTTTATTGGATTAGGACCCCACCCTTATGAATTTGTTTAAACTTAATTAACTCTCTAAAGATCTCTCTTGTTCTGGCCTGCTTGGTGGCTCAGGTGTCTGGAGCATTGTCCCATACACCAAAAGGTTGTGAGTCTGATTCCTGGCCAGGGCACATACCTAGGATGGTTTTTTGGATCCTAGGTCAGGTTGGGTAGGGGAGGCAACTGATGTTTCTTTGTCCCTCTCTCTAAAATCAGTAACAACAACAACAAAATTCCTCAGGTGAGAAGTAAAAAAAAAAAATTAAAGGCCCTATTTCCAAGTGCAGTTGACAGTGGAGGTTAGCAATCTGTGACACAGGTATGTTCCATGGAAATCATGGCCAGTTTATTTTAGAACTCTTCCTGGGATCTTTTACACCGTGAATTGATTTTCAGATTTCAGATTACCAGGGAGGTCTTCCTTCTGCTGCATACATTGGTTGTGTCTACTTTGTCAGTCTCTCCTTTATTTTAAAATGTTTTCTACTCCCACTATGTACTGAAGCTGACCTTCTCAAGGTCAGTAACAAATGGCTTCCATATTGCTAATTCTGTGGTTACTTATTATTCCTAATTGTGCTTAACCTCTTATACAAGTGAGCATTCTTTCCATGAAGCATTTGTCTTGGCTTTTGTACACGTACATACTTGCAGGATGTTCTTCCTATCCTACCATTGTGTCTAATTGTTTATCTCTTCCTGGCTTCTCAGTCCCTATAATTTCTTAGCTTTCTTTAATCTCAGTTTATGATAGGAAATACATTTTACATTATTCCTACTATATTAATAACTATATGAATTACATATATCAACCAGTTTATATATACATCTCTCTACTTGTCAGTTCTCTATGAAATAAAAATTCTATGGACTAGTTGTACTTGCCCTTACCCCATGAAATGCATGCTATTTTCTATTATATTTTTATAATATACTGAGCTCTAATACAAATATATATTTCTATTTTCAATTTATTTCCTTTCGTTCTCTACCTATATGATATACTATTCATAGAGATTTAAGTATTGACTAGTGACTAAAATAGGTATCTTCAGCTTTCAGTTCTCTCCTCCATTTCAGGCACACGTATCAGAAATTTTTTTCTTAATATCTCTACTTTGAGATCTAATAAGCCTCTCATACTTAATGAAGCTGGTCTCTGACTTACAGTGGTTCAATTTAGGATTTTTTTGACCTATTGCATTTACAATGGTGAGATACATATTCAATAGAGTCTGTACTTCAGAGTTTGAATTTTGATCTTTTCCTGTGCTAGCAACGTGCAGTTGTACACTGTTGTGAGGTTGGGCGGCATAGTGAGCTGCAGCTCCCAGTAAGCCGCGAGATCATGAGGGTAAACAACTGATCACAAGGGTAAACCACTGATACTCCACAAGAGTACGGTGTTGCATTTTTGGATTTTGTGGCTCGGCATCCCATTCTGTCTACAAAATGTCTATCTGTGCGTCCTGCTGCTAAGTGAGAAGAAGAAGGCAATTACTCTAGAACAAATTTAAGGTAGGCCAGGCTAAACCATGCTGTTCAGTAGGTTAAGTTAATTAAATGCATTTTCGAGTTAGGAGATTGTCAATTTACAATGGGTTTTTGGGGAGGTGACCCCTTTGTAAATCAAGGAGCATCTCTACATCTAAACTAGCCCTCTTGATTTCCAGCAGTTGACTCTCCCTTTCCATCTCAGATGTTACTAGCAGTGAAGACCTTGGGTGTCATCCTTGGTTTTGCCCTTTGCTTTGCTCTCCATCCATCTCCCCTTACAAATAGCCACTCCATCTGGAAGTCCAATTTTATCTCTCTTTTTAAAAAAGGTTTGTTTGTTTATTTTTAGAGAGAGGGGGAGAGAGGGAGAGAAACATCAATGTGTGGTTGCCTCTGGTGTGCCCCGTACTGGGAATCTGGCCTGGAACCCAGACATGTGCCCTGACTGGGAGTTGAACTGGCGACCCTTTGGTTTGCAGGCCGGCACTCAGTCCACTGAGACATACCAGCCAGAGCCCAACTTTATGTCTTTAAAAAATCTGATATATATTTTCTTCTCCATGTCTAACATCTCCATTTTTGGCTTGCCTTAGTTTTCTAACTAGTGTTTTCTCATTCCCTCTTTTGTTTATAATTTACTTTTCATTAAAAATGGTCAGACATTTTTTATTCAGAAAATGCTTTTTCAAAAGTTGTTAATAGAAAATTTCAAAGCCAATGGTACTAAAAGACTTTTTAAAAAGGAGTTCCCCTCAATTTTCGGTGTTATTATTTCCCTTAGTTATTTGCTTCCATGTTCCTAAATTGTTCATAGCTATTTCTTGACTTTCGCAGTTTTACACATTATTTATTAACCATGGTAGAGACCCCATTTCTTCCCTGCATGCCATTAATAATGATAATTTTGGGCTATCAGTCGTCAAGATTTATATTTTGGCTGTGTAAATAGTCCCTGCTGGTGAGTAGTGTAATATGACTATATTTCCTTTCTTACATGGTTCTCCATTTTTTTAGGTTAACAATTGCATTTTTAAT